GTGTGACTAATTTTATGGTGTTTGGGAAATTTTTATGGTTACAGGATTTAGTATGGTTCCATATTTGGAGGAGACTCTGTCAAAATTTTCAAAAAATATATATATAAATAGAAATGAAATGAGGCCATTCTATCGAAATATAGTTATAGTTGCCTTAGTGATGGGTCCAGTGTCAAGCTGACACTTATCATCGGCGCACGTCACGTCTTGAATTAGTAGGGAGTTTGGGACGGGGCGTGACAAATAGCCCCGATAATGCTGATGGAATTCACTTTTCATGCAGTTTCGAGCCTGATCATTCTGATTTATCTCAGAGTGAACACAACTGGAATAAGGAATTACTTCGACCTGCTTACACATCTTCAAAGATCGGTGATGCTGATTATCCTGGTGTGTCTGCAAATTCTTGTTACTGTGGATATCCTGTTGAAGATCACGCCTTTGGATTCTGGTCCTATTGAGAATCATTTGGTACATTTCTACATTTTCCTACGTCCTACGTCCTACATTCTTATCTTCGTGATAGTATGTTTTAAATAAGCAATAAAGCCAATGGATGGCACTCATATCCTTCTTTTGTATAATTGATTGTGGCCAGTTAGAACCTGTTCCGAACTTGCATATTCTTGTTGAACTTGGCTCGTTTGGAATGTCCACGATTACTAAATTAATCGAAAAACTTGTAAATTATCTCGTTGAAAGTTCTAATTTTCTGAATACGAGAAAAGAATTCTTGAAGCCTAGAGTCCAAGAAACTGAGTACCGGTTTGGTAGTGATCTAAGTGCTTAAAAGATATGGGTCCTAGGAATGTATGGATAATATATTGATAGTAAATTTTGGGTCCTAAATCTATAGATAAAAATCTTTCAATGCATTTGTAGATTTAGAAATTTCCTTTTATTGTTACTCATCAAGAGGATGTGAGGTTAGAGAAGTGATCTAGTTGATGTGAGGTTAGAGAAGTGATCTAGTTTAATGCCTCATCATCGTTTTTTACCTCGATAATCCAATAGTGCTAGGACGTCAATGTCAACTGCGAAGAATTGTTTCCTGTTGGATTTCTGCTAATGGCCACTGGCAAGTCTCTTTTGACTTTCATAAAGAAGAGGAGTACATGACTCAGTGGACTCGGATACTCAAGTCATATGCTTATAAGGTGATAATGGATACACTTCTACAAAGCTTTAGCTTGATCGAGTGCGTTTGGCATGCTTGAAGAGTGGTGACTGTGTGTGTCTTTTATAGCTGAATGTCGTAGAACCCTTGCAAAGGTGTTAGACGTCTGTTGAATAAGGTTATTCTTGCTTCTTCTTTTTTTTTTGACACGTGTACACTTGATTTGACAAATGAGCAACTTTAATGTATTATCATTACCTTTTCATTGAAAGCATTTATGCTTGGTACACGGTGTGGTAGTAATTTGTGCTTGCTGTCAATACCACGAAACTGTGAGTTCAAATCTGGCTAAGGCCTCGGCGAGTATTTAGCCATGTTTTTTTTCTCTCTCGTTCATATAGGTGGCCGAGTAGAATGCTAACCACAAATGGAACTCTCTAGCATTTGGAATACACTCTCGTCAGCCTTTCTTAACATTGATTCAACTATCGTGAGCTCCTCTCTCTATGTCTAAATTTCGAATAGGTATAACAAATCAAAATAAGTTTATTGGAAACAAGATTCTAGTCAAGTTAGTAGCTTTAATTTTCGTGCATTATTATACATCATTTAACTTCTACAGGAAATACTAATTTGTATACTGTAACAGCCTATTGTTGGGACTAATATGATACAAACAATAAAATAGGCCTGAAGTCTGCAATTAATAGAAGTGCTATTTCATTGAGTAATGCTATCCATTATTATGGTCCGTGAGCATCGTCTAGGTAGCAGTGGGGCCATTGTCACGTTCTTCGTTGAAGCTCTGACTTGTTGAAATGATTGGTACCTTTTCTTGGATGTTTGCCATGTGACCTATTTGCAGCAATAGTATCTTTAGTTCCTGAACTTCATTATACGTACCAAGGGCTCTTTTGATAATGTCTTTTTTTTTAAAATAGAAGAGCTTTTTGAAGAAGTCACATTGAATCAACTTTTTCGAGAATCTCTTTTATACAAATAAAGCACTTTCAAAATATTTTTTAAATAGGTTAAGTGGCACATGTTTAGTTTTAGAAGCAAATTTTAACTTTTTTGAAGTCTTGTCAAAGAGGTCCTAAGTGATACTCTATTTTGAAGGTTCGCATTTGAATCAACCCTAGAATCTTTTGCTCTCGTTCATCTTCTTTACTCTTTCTCTATGTAAAATTACGGGTCCGTATCTTAATCTTCTTCTCTCTCTATAAAGTAGTAACGATGCACTTTATACGCAACTTTTAAGACAAAGATTCTGATTCACTGTTAGTACCATTAATTGCGGGTTTGAGAAGGTTCTTCAGTTTTTGTTTGATATCTAATGCTTCTATAGTTCGTGCTCGAGCCTAATCCTTCATGGGTGCTCGAACATGAATGTAGATAGTTCTGATCGAACCTAGATAAAACAAATTGTGTCACTCTTTATTTTCTGCACATTTGTGGCGGGGTTTGGTGGTTTATTGATACCGAATCTAAAACTATCAATAGCTCTACTGTCTGTACATCCATTTCTTGTTTATCAGTGTGTATTTGTTTTCTCACCTGTGTTCTCGACGTAAGTCATTTTCATTTTGTCTGTTCAAGATCGATTAAATTAATCATTCAAAGCCACCTGTTATGAGCAAAGAATTAGAAATTTAATTTTTCTTGCACGATGCTACTCATGGATTTTAATTTCCAGACTTCCAAAAATCATTTTATACCCTTCAAGGGTTTCAAAATTATTCAGTTTTGACACTTTTTTTTTCCCTGCATATATGTTTATTTATTTATTTTCTACCTTCAACACATCCACTCTTACGCCATTTTTCCATTGAGAGCGGAATTTTCACAAATTGATAGATATGACTCAACATATGACGTTTGTTTGTTTTGATGCTAAATGGATTTATCTTTTATAAAAATTTAATATATTAAAGAGAAGAGTCGAGTGCCCTAAATATTATTTAAAATGTTATTAAAAAATCTTAGCAACATATTTCATAGATGCACACTTGCACTCCATGTAAGGTAACGTTTGAGTCCTTGACGCACATTTTAAACCTAATAAGAAATTAAGTAGTAAAATGTACCCTATTATTTGATTTTTATTCCAAATAAAGTGGATGTGTGACTGATTTTATGGTTTTATGGTTACAGGATTTAGTATGGTTCCATATTTGAAGGAGACTCTGTCAAAATTTTCAAAAAATATATATATAAATAGAAATGAAATGAGGCCATTCTATCGAAATATAGTTATAGTTGCCTTGGTGATGGGTCCAGTGTCAAGCTGGCACTTATCATCGGCGCACGTCACATCTTGAATTAGTAGGGAGTTTGGGACGGGGCGTGATAAATAGCCCCGATAATGCTGATGGAATTCACTCTTCATGCAGTTTCGAGCCTGATCATTCTGATTTATCTCAGAGTGAACACAACTGGAATGAGGAATTACTTCGACCTGCTTACACATCTTCAAAGATCGGTGATGCTGATTATCCTGGTGTGTCTGCAAATTGTTGTTACTGTGGATTTCCTGTTGAAGATCACGCCTTTGGATTCTGGTCGTATTGAGAATCATTTGGTACATTTCTACATTTTCCTATGTCCTACATTCTTATCTTCGTGATAGTTTGTTTTATATAAGCAATAAAGCCAATGGATGGCACTCATATCCTGCTTTTGTATGATTGATTGTGGCCAGTTAGAACCTGTTCCGAACCTGCATATTCTTGTTGAACTTAGCTCGTTTGGAATGTCCACGATTACTAAATTAATCGAAAAACTTGTAAATTATCTCGTTGAAAGTTCTAATTTTCTGAATACGAGAAAAGAATTCTTGAAGCCTAGAGTCCAAGAAACTAAGTACTGGTTTGGTAGTGATCTAAGTGCTTAAAAGATATGGGTCCTAGGAATGGATGGATAATATATTGATAGTAAATTTTGGGTCCTAAATCTATAGATAAAAATCTTTCAATGCATTTGTAGATTTAGAAATTTCCTTTTATTGTTACTCATCAAGAGGATGTGAGGTTAGAGAAGTGATCTAGTTTAATGCCTCATCATCGTGTTTTACCTCGATAATCCAATAGTGCTAGGACGTCAATGTCAACTGCGAAGAATTGTTTCCTGTTGGATTTCTGCTAATGGCCACTGGCAGGTCTCTTTTGACTTCCATAAAGAAGAGGAGTACATGACTCAGTGGACTCGAATACTCAAGTCATATGCTTATAAGGTGATAATGGATACACTTCTACAAAGCTTTAGCTTGATCGAGTGCGTTTGGCATGCTTGAAGAGTGGTGACTGTGTGTGTCTTTTATAGTTGAATGCCGTAGAACCCTTGCAAAGGTGTTAGACGTCTGTTGAATAAGGTTATTCTTGCTTCTTCTTTTTTTTTTGACACGTGTACACTTGATTTGACAAATGAGCAACTTTAATGTATTATCATTACCTTTTCATTGAAAGCATTTATGGTTGGTACACGGTGTGGTAGTAATTTGTGCTTGCTGTCAATACCACGAAACTGTGAGTTCAAATCTGGCTAAGGCCTCGGCGAGTATTTAGCCATGTTTTTTTTCTCTCTCGTTCATACAGGTGGCCGAGTAGAATGCTAACCACAAATGGAACTCTCTAGCATTTGGAATACACTCTCGTCAGCCTTTCTTAACATTGATTCAACTATCGTGAGCTCCTCTCTCTATGTCTAAATTTCAAATAGGTATAACAAATCAAAATAAGTTTATTGGAAACAAGATTCTAGTCAAGTTAGTAGCTTTAATTTTCATGCATTATTATACATCATTTAACTTCTACAGGAAATACTAATTTGTATACTGTAACAGCCTATTGTTGGGATTAATATGATACAAACAATAAAATAGGCCTGAAATCTGCAATTAATAGAAGTGCTATTTCATTGAGTAATGCTATCCATTATTATGGTCCGTGAGCGTCGTCTAGGTAGCAGTGGGGCCATTGTCACGTTCTTCGTTGAAGCTCTGACTTGTTGAACTGATTGGTACCTTTTCTTGGATGTTTGCCATGTGACCTATTTGCAGCAATTGTATCTTTAGTTCCTGAACTTCATTATACGTACCAAGGGCTCTTTTGATAACGTCTTTTTTTTTTTTTTAAATAGAAGAGCTTCTCGAAGAAGTCACATTGAATCAACTTTTTCTAGAATCTCTTTTATACAAATAAAGCACTTTCAAAATATTATTTAAATAGGTTAAGTCGCACATGTTTAGTTTTAGAAGCAAATTTTAACTTGTTTGAAGTCTCGCCGAAGAGGTCCTAAGTGATACTCTATTTTGTCGGTTCGCATTTGAATCAACCCTAGAATCTTCTGCTCTTGTTCATCTTCTTTACTCTTTCTCTATGTAAAAATTATGTGTCCATATCTTAATCTTCTTCTTTCTCTATAAAGTAGTAACGATACACGTTATACGTAACTTTTAAGACCAAGATTCTGATTCACTGTTAGTACCATTAATTGCGGGTTTGAGAAGGTTCTTCAGTTTTTGGTTGATATCTAATGCTTCTATAGTTCGTGCTCGAGCCTAATCCTTCGTGGATGCTCGAACATGAATGTAGATAGTTCTGATCGAACCTAGATAAAACAAATTGTGTCACTATTTATTTTCTGCACATTTGTGGTGGGGTTTGGTGGTTTATTGATACCGAATCTAAAACTATCAATAGCTCTACTGTCTGTACATCCATTTCTTGTTTATCAGTGTGTATTTGTTTTCTCACCATTGTTCTCGACGTAAGTCATTTTCATTTTGTCTGATCAAGATCGATTAAATTAATCATTCAAAGCCACCTTTTATGAGCAAAGAATTAGAAATTTAATTTTTCTTGCACGATGCTACTCATGGATTTTAATTTCCAGACTTCCAAAAATCATTTTACACCCTTCAAGGTTTCAAAATTATTCAGTTTTGACGCTTTTTTTTCCCTGCATAATTTTGAAATTCCCTGCATATATGTTTATTTATTTATTTTCTACCTTCAACACATCCACTCTTACGCCATTTTTCCATTGAGCGCGGAATTTTCACAAATTGATAAATATGACTCGACATATAACATTTGTTTGTTTGTTTTGATGCTAAATGGATTTATCTTTTATAAAAATTTAATATATTAAAGAGAAGAGTCGAGTGCCCTAAATATTATTTAAAATGTTATTAAAAAATCTTCGCAACATATTTCATAGATGCACACTTGCACTCCATGTAAGGTAACGTTTGAGTCTTTGACGCACATTTTAGACCTAATAAGAAATTAAGTATAATATTAAAATGGATGGTGGCATGGGGATAGTATTATTTTGGAGTAAAATGTACCCTATTATTTGATTTTTATTCCAAATAA